GGGATCGCCGTTGACAATTCAATTCCGAAGTCCAGCAAAATCTCAATTTACAATTCACAATTCACAATTCACAATGTTTATTATTATTGGGAATACCAAAATCAGATAATTAATGAATTGAGATTGAAATTCATGGGAAATGAAAGAAATGGAGAGGTAGTTGTTGTAGGGTTTATAGAGAAACAGGGAAGAAAAAGGGGAAAATGAAAAGAAAATCAGAAAGGATCGATTGAATTGAGTTTGAAAATGGTTCGTAAGATAAGAATAAGAAAGGAGTGAAGAAAGGAGAGAAGAATGAAAAACAAAAGCAGCTTCGACTCTCTTTCTTACAGGATGGAAGATGAACAATTTCAATTACAATCACTCAAATTAATTTACCCACGAATAATAATAATAATAATAATTAAAATCCCTGAATTATAATTTGCATTTTCTCTTTTTATTTTTACAATCTCCGTTTATATGTCTCGCCGCTAATCTGCGGACCAAATCCAATCAGGACTTAAGCCACTACTATATTTATTCCTCTTTTTTTTTTTTTTTTTTAATTCAATTTTATTCATTTCACAATTTCAACTGTCAAATTTCTCAAAGCAACCAACCTCCCCATTTCAATTTCGACTACACAAACTTTTAAATATATCAGATGTATAATAAAATATTACACATATGTTATAAAATTATTTTAAAATGAGCAAAAGTTACTCTAATATCAATAAAAATTTTCTAGATTATTTTCTATGCTTAATCTTATAATTTTTCTAGATTATTTTCTATGCTTAATCTTATAATTTTTCTAGATTATTTTCTATGCTTAATCTTAATTAATCCTCTATATTCTCATATTTCCTCCCCCTTTTCCTTCTTTTTTTTATTCTTTTGATTTTTTTTTTCACTTTTATTAATGTTTAAAAAATATTTAATGAATCTTTGAAGCAAAAAAAAAAAGGTTCAGAAAAACAATAGAATAAAGTTACAAGAATAAAAACAAAGTGGAAAGCTAAACGTCGCCCTCGAATCTCTAACTAACGCCCGCAAAATAAACTAAAATTACAAATTTACCCTTTTTATCAAAAAAATTACCCCTTCATCATACTACTATATCCACCACCACCGCCACCTCCTCCTCTTCTTTTAACCACCAACTCCTTACCTCCGATTTCACGATCTACACAGTCGCGGTAATGACAAGTAAGGACAAAGGAAAGTCGATCGCCAACGGAGAAAATTTTTTTTTTTTTTTTTTTTAATTTGCGGCAAACGCCTAGATTTTTCGCACGTCCTAGACTCAAACGCCTAGTTCTTGTGAACAACCGTGTGGTTGTATGAAAAATCTGGGCGTTTGAGGTGAAACGCCTAGTTTTTTAGAATACCTAGGCTGAAACGCCTAGTTTTTGCGTTTCAGCCTAGGGTATTCTAAAAAACTAGGCGTTACGGCCTAGGGTATTCTAAAAAACTAGGCGTTTCGTGGGTTTTGAATTTTTTTAAAAAAATTTATCGCGACATACCGATTTCATACGGTTTGACGAGCCTTCTACAAGCGTCTAAGGTTGTGTTTCTTGTATTTCGTCGTTGTCCATAAGATCTAACGAAATTGATTTTGCAAAATTTTAAAAATTTGTTTGATTTTTAAACTCACGGTGGTTTGGATGGTTGTTCAATGAGCGTTGGTGGCCGTTGACCACTAGAGAGAATGGTAAAAAAAATTGTGTACAGTAAAAGTATGAAATTGAGGTAAAATTAATATTTTTTTTATAATTATTATAAGGATAAATACGTAATTTTATTTTATTTTGCGGGTGTTAGTTAGATATTTGAGGGCGATATTTAACAACCCCCAAAACAAATCATGTGTACAATATGCACGGATTATTCTAGTTAGAAGGGTTACATGTCGTCACTTGCTAACTTTAATCTTACACCAATGTGTCGCCATTTGTTATCTTTTATACCAATATGTCACCACTTGGTTAACTTTTATACCAATTTGTCGCCACTTGTTAACTTTTATACTGATATGTCGCCGACGATTATTTTTTACCAGTATGTCACAAGGGCCGGTGCTAATTTTTATACCAATATGGTCAATTGACCTAGTTTTGTATTACTATAAGGGGGCATTTGGTTTGCAGAATATAAATATGAGGTATGGATTTAGAATGACTAAAAGCGTTGTCAAAAGTATGAATTTCAAACCCATGAAGTATAGGATTTAGAAACCTTTGGGGGGTGTGGGTTTGGTTCATTCCATTCCCTTAGGTATCAAATATAAAGATAACATAGTGAAAGATTTCATTCCAGAATTGAATCTAACACATGGAACCAAATGTCCCCTGAATTATTTTTGAGTCAGGCTCTTTCCATAAAAATTAATGGCATTTTCGGAGTATTTTAACCCCCTTTATAGACAAATAAGAGGCCGATAAGTGGCCTATTATAAGTTAACATGTGGCATCATGCTCAGCTAAAAAAGAGCAATACGAGCATATGACCTGTGGCTTAAAGAGAGATGTCAGATAATGAAGGGCTCAAAGTCCATTAATTAAAGGAAACATGCCTAGCATAAAGCAAACCCTAATACACGTGTCAACCACGTATAGGGCAGCCGATCTTCCAAGGTTATGAAACTCTAAGAGCATGATCTCTCACACCCTTATAAATACCCCATAATTTCCATGATGGCAGGGGGATTACACAATTACTAAAGGTACAATGCCAAAAAAATACTCTCACTTCTCTATACTTTTTCTATCCAGAATTCCGTTGTCAGTCACTAACTTGGTCGTCAGAGGCCGTACGACTGTACGAGTGTAGCGTTTCATCCCCTTTTGGCGTCCCCCTTTTAATCACTTGATGCCCCGAGGGAATCCATACCCCCATTCAGGTTATCTAATAAAACCCCTAAAACAAATGATAATTAAAATTCAAATATTAAAGTGTCTAGAAGTTTGTACACTCTTTGTATTTTATTACTTCCTTTATTTCTCTATATGTGGTGTTTTTAGAAGGAATAGCATAAGGTAATAAAATATTTATACAAGTGGTGTTGGTTGAAGAATAAAAAAATCTTAAAAAGCAAAAGTAAGCATAACGGTATAAGTAGGGATCGGAGGAAAATAATAAAATACTATTGAAAGTTTTCAAAAAAATGTAAAGGAGCAAATAAAAAAACACGGCTGCAAAAGAGAAGTCAAGCAAGTAATAAAATATGAAAAGAGTAATTCTAAGTCAATCATAACAATAATAATAAAATACGGGTAGTAATTTAGCAAAAATCTAGAAGAGCAAAAGATAAAGTTTCATATAGGTTTATAGATTTGTGTTTACTAACTTATTACTAATTTATTATGGTTATGTTTTAGATACGATTCAATTTAAGCTATCTTCGCAAACAATAGCTTTTGTGTGCAGTTTGGTGAGGTAGTTGACACACACCAAATAACCCCTGATTGACCGGGTGAGTAACCCCAAACAGTAACCCCTGATCGAGTGAGTAATAGCACTAACAAACTAACTCCAAAATAATTGGCCACACGGCGTGACTAGACACAAAAAAAGTTAAATATTCTAAAAATTTCATTTTTGAATGATATAAAGTAATACTTCCTTCGTTTTCTTTTAGATGCAACACACCCTTTAGCGCGGTAATTTAGAAATGTGGGGTTTACATAATATAATAAACTTTAAAATGAGATGAATGGTTGTTAGGAGTGTAATTTAGTGGGTCATGTGCTTTAAATAAGGGAAATAGTATAGTTTTTCCCTAAATTAACTTTCCTTTTATAGTGTGTTGCAAGTATTGTGACATTTCCTTTTTAGGGAAGTGTTGCAAGTAAAAGAAAACGGAGGAAGTATAAATCTAATGACAAATTGACAATATGACACATCATTATTTAAAAATGTTTTTAAACAAGACTGCATGCTACATGGCACACTGCTCAATTAATATTTCATTTCACGTGTTTAAAAATATGGATTGTACAAGATATAAACCAACATGCCACAATATTTAAGTTAAAAAACTGAAGTGTTAGCCACCAAGCTATCCCCATATTACTTGTCATGCTTCCAAAATTATACCTATATAAATAAGGATTTCAATTAGTAACTTAATATAAATTGACTATAATGGAACTTGGGCCCATTATTCTAGCTAATCAAAACATGACAAATTAGATTTGTATGTAAGGACCACATACAACAATTGTATGTGTAGCCTTTAGCACATCGCTCGAGCCTAAAAACTACTTAAAAATTAGCGAGTAAATAATGTCTAATGTGAAACTGTCAATCAATTTAATAAGAGTATAGTCATTAAATCATATTCAAAGATCAGCTCTATCTTTATAATTTAAAAACTTTGAACAACTAATTTCAAGTCAAGGGACCATATCCTTCATCTTCCTCAACGTTCGTTTCACACTCACTTTTCAAGATAAAAATTTGAATGTATCCCATGTAAAGTAAAGGTAAATAGCATGACTGGTTTTTAGCCATGTATTTTTACTGATGTAGATAATAGGTACTCCTTAACTATATGATCAATATGAAACTGTTTTGATGGTTGAAATTGAATACATGTAGCGATGCTGAACACCATTAACTGGCTTCTAGCCAGGACCCATTGTGTTTTGACTACTTTTATCATAACTACCCTCACCCTCTTAAAAGAAGATTTCATTCAAGCCAAAGCCAAAGCCAAAATATAAATTACACAATCTTACTCCAACCATAAAGAGATTGCTTCCAAGCAACAGTGTCACTTTCATTCATGGCATGACTGAAAAGAAATCGTCATTTAAGAGTTTAACATGCTCTAACTTATAGTTTGCCCACATGACTAGAAATTCTGATCAAATTTATGAATTTGAGTAAGGAACCCTGACTAAAGTGTTGAAGCATCAAACTGTAATAAGCAAGCACTAGCCAAACATGTGTTATTTTCCTAGGGCACAAGACTACAATTGCTTCTGCATTAAACCTGCTAGTACGACAGAATATAGAACAAGCATATTTTCCCAAGTTGAAACAAATTCCACAATAATAATTCTCATGTGAGAAAACTTATCTGTCAATTATTTAACATACCAAAAAAAAAACCTCAGATTTGATAACAACGAAATTTAAAAGCCCAAACAATAATTAAAGCACACAATTCTTGCTGACATTCAAATATCAAATTGGTTTCTCCACCAGTCCGCCTGATCAATACATACATACATCAAAGAAAAAACAACAGTAGTAAGGACAGGAGTTGTTGGTGATATACTAATCTCATGGTTGGCTTTTCAAACCCATGACTGCTCAATTTATTGCTTCAAGTCCCCAACTAAAGCATCCTGCAGATATGTAACAACACTATGTCATACATAAGTAAATTGTCTGCTAAAAGCTCAGCTATACATGAACCAAAGAATGGGTTTGACAAGCTCTACGTATATTGATACGAGTCTGTTTACACTCTCATCTTTTCACTTTGTGTTCCAACAGATTATTAAAATTATGAATAAAAATTTGTTAGATCTTTTAAGGCTCATGTCAAAATATTTGTTTTACCATCTGCAAGTTGAAATCCCTATCACAATATCTCACATAGCAGAAGCGTACACATGATGATAAACCAAAACATAGATGGATAATACAAAAATAAATTTGCATTTTGTAATCCTTTTGTTACTCTCCCTAATTGCATGTGTACAAGTTTTAAATAGAGCGCGCAAATAAGGTACGTAGACAGAGATGGAGAGATGTTAAACTACAGGCAACCCATGTTCTAACAAAAGTTTTCCCATACAATTTAGCCTACTTCCAACAAGTTTTAAATTTCTATCAAAAGTCTACAATACTAAACATAGCCCACAAAACAGTAAAATGACGATGATAATAATGATCATCATTAATTTTGCAAAAAGAAAAAAAAAATAGAAAAAAAAAAAGAAGCTCATCAACCATTGATATATTCCAATGGATTAGATTCAATTCAACAACCAGAATCCTTTTGCCTGTACACTTCATATTCGCCTATCAATGCTTCAATTTGTAAGTCTAGTGTTTCCAAGTAAACCCTATATCTCACTATAAATCATTCTCTAGCATGTGATTTAATTAGTGGGTTACCAATTTGTTAAACGCGCTGTGGCCTTCAACAATCTGGACCATGTTTAATAAGCTCCTTGGAACACACAACCCAGCTCACAGAGGTGCGATCCTAGATACACAAAGCTCAATAATACTCAATAATACACAAAAGGGCATCCATTACACTATAGTTGGATAACAATAGTGATGGGGATAGGCAAGAGAAAGAAAAAGAGGGAAGAGGGAAAGAGTGAGCATTCATTTTTCTTCCAATTCTCCAACGGAGGAAATCAGTTTATTTAAAGGGAAAAGTAAATGAATCCCTCCCTTTCCCCTATCACTTGCCCGGTATCTTATCCAAATAAGAGAAAAATGTATCCCCTACTTTCCCTTCTCTTCCTTTTCCCCCAAATCCTATCTAATCATAGTGTTAGCGGAGGTTACAATTTCAAAGAATTCGCTAAATAAAATTACCTTTACCACCCCACCTAATCAACCAAATTCAGCCACACCCTACCCAAAACCACACCCCATCCTAACAAAACCCACCCACCCACCCCCTAATAAACCGACCAAAAAATAAGCAAATACCCTCCAATAATGCACAACCCTAACAATTTCAAGAGAGAGAGAGCCAGAGAGATTAAAAATGATAAATTACCTTTTTAATCTTCAATTATGGCTTTAAAAGGTCAAATTTGGCCATTAAAACCTTAAATTTGAGCTTCAATGGCGGTCATGAAACAAAAGGAGGAGAGAAAAAGGGCTGCAATGGTGGCTAGGTGAAGGGGGCACCAGAACTGGGGGAGGCAGCTAGTGAAGGGGGCACCAGTAGTGAAAGGCAACAAGGAAAAGTGGCGTCAACATATAAACGAGGGATAAGGTGCTGGTACAATAGTGTAAGAGAGAGAATGGAAAGCAAAGCCCTTTGATTTAGATTGATGATAATATTAGGTCATTCACCTTCAACATTGTACCACGAAAATGAGAGTTAGTGGAAAGGGAGTCCCTTTTTTTTAACTCATTGGGTAGGAAAGATAGTTGTTTAGATAAATAAGTATGGTGAAATTGTATAAGTAGACTCATCATCCATATGATGGGTAAGGAAAGGTAAAAGTAGGAATGTCAAAAAGAAACACGACTAATGAAAAGTTAAAAGATCAATATATTAATCCTAAGCACGACTTTTATCTTATTTAAAAAATGCTATATTATTTACACACCTGCTAATAATAATCATGACAATGTCATATTGATTCTGAACAAATAAAGTTATTTAACATATTGTTTTTTAATCAGTTTCCAGATACTCCATTATCTCCATGTCGTAAGGCTACCTATCTTATAAATGTCATAGCCTGTACCATATCCATATAGTTCAAAAGGGTCATACCATACACTCAGTCCCTACACCCACGCCCAATACTACATTCATACCCCTGTCCATGTAGCACAGCATATCACTGGTTTCACCCTTTATAACAATCAAATTAATAGCGTTGCTAATAATGTAATAGTATAAGTCAGCTGCTCATCAACCAGCAAAAAAGCATGAATTTTGTAGTCAAACACCCACAAATTCAATTATTCACTCACCCTATGTTACTACAACTCTTCATTTCGTCTTCCTTACCTGCATTGGACACTAGGTATGAAATCCTTTCCCAAACACTCCCTCGGTCTCTTCAAACATCCTTAACCATGTCACGCAGAAGAAAATGTAAAAATCAAATCAAGGAAAAGAATAATGGGTGCATTACATGCTCACGTATCGGCTTCAAATAAATAGAATGTTTACATAAATTTGTACCCTAGAAAGCATAAGCAAAATTGTTAGACAGCAAAAGCTAACACCTTATATCCATTGTATTTTTATGATTCCATCTACATTTACCAATAATTAAGTGTAGACTTGTGGACATCTTCACTAACCTCCAAAATAATTGAAGTGGGGATGGCAAAAGAGAGAGAAGGAACAATTGTCCATCAATTGGTTATCATTGTTGTTTATCTCCCAATAAGTTCCGCTTGTATGTACTCTTTACATCCATCAAGAGGGGAAGAGAGGGGGGGGGGGGGGGGAACAAGTTTTCCAGGGTAAGTAGATAGAGGAGAAAGCAAAGTGATTAGAGTATGGCATCCTAGAAAAAATGTGGTTCTATACTTCTATACATCCCTACATAAGAAATGTGTCTTCTAGGGGCAACTTGAAAGTAAGTATGACTCTTTTGTCCTCGATACTCATAACCAACTTGCTTGACAAAAAGTCTTCCAAATGTTCTAAATTCGTCAAGACTCAAGAGTAGTGCTCCTGGTCAAAGACTTTCTGCTCACTAAACTCTTCATGAGACAAGAATCTCACAGTAAATAGAAGAGAAGCAAAGCAATCAAAGAATATTTACATGTAATGCTCAAGGAAAAAATTGTGTCACATCTCGAGGAGCTTGTGAAGGTAAGATGTCTCTTGGTCCATGTTGAATTCAAAAAGGGGCATGGTCTGCTCAATTTTCACAAATTATTCACCAAAAGTAATTTTTTTACTGGCTGCTCCTACTAAATACTAATAAGGCTGTGCAGATAAATGGTTACAAGGAAACCGTTTTCTAAATTCCTTCTAGCAGATTAGCAATTTATGATCAAACAAAACAATTCAATCTCTTATGAAAATCCCATACTATACAGTAATGGGATGGTTATATAGTTGCATGGAATCTGCTTAAACTCACTTCATCGTTCAACCAACTGAAATATATAAATCCTAACAAACCCAATAATATTGAGAGCAACCAGCAAAGAATAACAAATAATGAACAGAGGGATAATTACGCAGGACAGAGAAAAAGGCGCAAAATCATCTTTGTCTCCAGATAATTCATAGCAAAATTAATCTTTTCGGAGATTGGTTGAGAAAATCTTATTTAAAAGGTACAAGGGAAGATCCAAGCATTGCATTGCGACGCTATGGACAGCGAAATCTGCGGCTTTGAACACACCTATGCTAACCGTGTATGGGTGAAAAGTGAAATTGAGCAAGAAACAAAATGGAATTGTAGGAGAATGGTTTGAATAAAAAGTAAAGTTGAAGTAAAAAATAGAGCGGAAGATTTGATCATTTGTATCCCAAATAGCATAGTCAAACAGAAATCGACGGACAATGTAAACATTAACAAGAAGAAGAAGAAGAAGAAGAAGAAAGAGCAATTGTTTGATGCCATAAACAGTGAATTGAAAATGATAAAGATAGAAAAACCCTAATGGGTGGAAAAGTACCAGAAATTAGTGATTTTGAGTTTCGGAGCAAATCTCCATGATCTTCTTATCCCTCCTTTCCATGGCGACATCCCACAAGTCGTTGCCAATGTGCTTGGGCTGCGACAAAAATCAAATAATCAGAATTGTAGAAGATGGATGAATGAGATCTAAGAAACCCTAAAAAAAAAAAGAGAGAAAGAGAAGAAAGATACCCGGCCATGAAAGCCTTTGTGGATGTAATACTGAGCATTGCCCATGATGCAGAGCATGCCGGCGATGATACCAAGTGGAAGTGCAGCTTCTAGCCATACCAGTCCCATCTTCGATTTCTCTCTCTCTTCCTCTTTCTTTTCTTCTTCTTCCCGATATTGTCAATGTCTATTAATTCCCTTTTCCTCTATTTTATCCCCGTTAACTGCAATTTTTATTTTTATTTTTTTTATATATATATATTTCGTTTGTTTTACTTTTTTTTTTCAAAATAAAACCAAGTATAATACAAGTACTATTAATTAAGGGAAAAAGTGTCCATTAATGCATACGGGTAGGGGTGACAATATCATCCAAACCTGATGGATAATCATCCACCCGATCCAAATATATAGATGAAAACTCGAACTTAAGCGGATGACGGATGGATGATGGATGGATCGGGTGACGAATCAGATCGGATACGGATGATGATACATCCAATCCATCACCCGATCCATCACCCGACCCATCCATCTATCCAGCCGTTAAATTTATATATAAAAAAATAAAAATAAATATCTTTTTTAATAATTTAATGTCTATTGTAGTGTTAGGAATTGACTTTTGTTTTAATTTAGTTAAAAGGAACAAGTATTAGAAAGATGTATCAAAGTTTTAATAAAATTGGTCACTTTTTTTTGTCAAATCTTGATTTTAATTATGAATATGAAAAGTTATATTTATATATTTATTTCACCCGAATTATCACCAGATCCACCCGATTCATCCATGGATGACGGATGGATCGGATGTGGATGAAAAAAAATTAGGTGATGGATGGGTCGGGTGATGGATGGATCGTTGGTGGATGGAGGCGGATGAAGCATCACTCGACCCACCTCCGATCCATTTCCATCTCTACATACGGGGAGACTTCATTTGGGTAGTGATGCTCCAAACTTTTTTTTTTAGATTCGACGTTAACAAATAAAATTTTCCTTCATAAAAACTACGATCGTCGAGTAGATTTTGCATTGTGGAACATCTCCACTTATATCGCTGGAAAATACAGCCTTGTTGGAGAGGCAATCTAACGATTCTTTGTGGTCGTGAGGATGTTTTTCCCCTGATTCATCTGTTTGCATTCGAAAACTTGATAACTTTTTCACCAACGAAATAATTTCACGACAATCCATTAAATCTAATATCATGGATTCAAAACTAATAAATTTCTCCCCCGAAAAGAGGAGATAAACATTGTCTTTCAAAAGAGGTCGAAAAACCCTTATCTTTCGAAGGAGATCGGAAACTCTTTCTTTTGAGGGAGAAAAGTTCCTCTCAAAAGGAGGAAGCATTATTATAAAACCTAAAAAAACTTTACAGAAACTGGGACTGGGGCTTTCCACAGGTTAAAGCCGATGTGTTGGACTTAATGATTTTGATGATGACACAACCTCACTTACTTACAAACTAATAAGTGCTTGATTGTTTAAGTGTGTACTCAGTTACAAAGACTAGGAGAATGAAGTGTCTTGTAAAAATACCATGAGGAACAAGAAGGCCAGAAGCAGAGCTAGCCATAAAGAAGAGTTCCCTCACAGGAACTGGCGCTTCAGAAATGAAGACCGGAGAAGAGAAGGTTCCCTTAAGGAACAGAAGCTTCAGAGAAGAAGCCTCATAAGAGAAGAGAAGTTCCTCTCAAGGAACAGAAGCCTCGGAGTAGAAGCTTCATCAGAGAACATGAAGACTAAATATATTTTTATATTTTAGGATTTATGTAAGTATAAGATATTAAATGGCACTCGAAAAATCTGTGTGGAATTGGTCTAAAAGATGAAATATGTGCATGCTAGTTTTTAGGAAAACTGTTATCATTTAAACGTTTATCTTTTTCTCAAATTGAAAAGATTTTATTTTATTTCTTTTTCTGATTTTCGGAAAATTTCTTTTACAAAATAAAATCTCCCATGTTTTCCAAAACTTGCGGCCTACTCTCCCATGTTCTTCTTCAGTCATGGGTTTGCACATTAAGGAGTTCATGGTTCCTTAATTATAGGGACATGATCTTCTTAGTGGGTATGAGTAGTGGCGTAATGGTGTTGCTACACAAAGAGGATTTTCCAAAGCGTTTACTGATCTATAAATAGCCATTAATTTCAGAAGGAAAATCTCACCCTTGTTCACATAAGTTTTCAAGCTTCAAATCGAGTCAAGTGTCAATTCCACACAAGTTTATTAGAGTGTTCTTAATGTTCTTATACTAGAGTTTGTTTTTCTTTCAAGTTGTAATTTGGGAATGGAGAAGTTCGAGTGAACATTTGTGTATGAGAAAGATAAGTGAGAAAGAGAAAAGAAAGAGAAGAGAAAGAGAAGAGAGAACAGAGAAGTGAGAAGAGAGAAAGAGAAGAGAAGAGTAACTAGTTGGGTGACTAGTTCCTCAGGGTCTCAAGTTCGTAGAGGAACTTGAGTTTGAGTCGTTAGCTTGTAATAGGTTCATTTGCCCTATTATAGTGAAGATTCATTTCCCAAAATCCCAAGTGGTCGTGGTTTTTCTCCTTGTTAGGACCAAGGAGTTTTCCACGTAAAATCTCTCTTGCATTCTTTAGTTCCTTTAGTTAATCTTTCAGTTCCTTTAGCTAACTTAATTTCAATTCCGCAAAAAGTTTGGCTAATCTCTCATACTACAATTCAACCCCCCTTCTTGTAGTATTCCTTAAAACAATACGATGGAAGCCCCTTTACAATTTAACAATGAAGGCTAGGGTTTTGGAGAGAGGAAGGAGGAGAGAGGAGAGGCTAGATGCTCCCAAACTTGTTCTTGCTTGAAAGGTATAAGTTTGGCAAGATGGTGAACTACAAAGTTCTCATCTCTTTTTACATGATTCCGAATAATAGGATTAAAAAAAGTGCTAGACATTATAATTATCACCCAAGATCATATCAAGATTCAAAAGGGAAAACAGCTCTACAAGACAAATGATTCACCAAAACTTGGCAATATGATTCTACGATTATATTATACATACCATACCTTTTAGTTAATTTTAGAGCAAGATTGAGAGCCTTGGCTTCAACAATAATAAGCGACTAAAGAGCTTTTCCTCGTTTAGTAGCTGCAAACACCCAACCTTCATCTGGCAAGGACCCATAGGTGTTGAGCTTCACAATCCCGGCGGTGGAGCTCTCCACTTCTTCACACTAGGCCTCATCTTGGGGGCATCAATAGTTTTGCATATGCAGGAGGCATAGTGTCCGAACTCTTATACCAAGTGTGCAACCTTGTCCAAGATCATCTTGTGAAGAGAATCCTTGTTTTCAAACACTCTTTAGTTGCACACAACACTAGGCTAAGAAGACACCTCGTCGCACCATCTTGGCATCTAAATCCTTCCGGCCTTCTCAGGTTACACATCGAGACTGCAGCCTTCCATTTTATCATTGCTGAACATTAGCTCTCGACCCACAAAGTTCTCACCTTGATGCAATAAAAAAAAAAAGACCATGACTCACTGATTCCTCCACTCTACAACCCCAATGGACGAGCTTTATTTTAACATGTTTTTTTTTTTTTGAAACAATACAAACTATTTCATATTACATTGTTTTCATGCTTTTCTTTCACTATGTTTTTCGCTCTATCACTATATATATTTCTCAACTACGGAGTATCATTTTTCGAGTTTTTAATCTTTTTTCCGCTCATGTTGTCATACATAGTTTGGTGTTTAATTTAAGTACCAAACTAGTGTGTCACCCGGGCAATGCCACATGTTTCTAGTTTGTATTTGTTTAATTTGCTAATCAAATTCGAATGTTTAGATATTAAGACTTGTTGGTTTCGAGTTTAAGTCTTGCTATAAACATTTTTTAGTTGTCAAACTGAATCATTACATAATGGAGACAAATAGTATAATAAGACACAAATTAACTTATCTAAGTTAACTATAATTTTGTTGGATAAAAAAAGGCTTACCATTAAGGCATAAACTAAAAGGTCGGCGACAGCGCATATATGATATATCTACACAAAATCTAGGGTTTTGATTTTTGAGGGAGGAATAGAGAAAAGGAAATTGAAAATAAACGAATCTAATGTACCATTATTAGATTTCAATTACTAGTTTTAGTCAATTAATGAAAACAACATATTAATTAATTTACCGAACATATCCAATAACACACGAGTTTACCATTAATTAACATGTAATTTTTTTGGGATTTATCATTTTTTTTGCAATGCACATCACTTGTAGCATTTCCATTTGCGAATTAATTGAATATAGTTTTAATTAGTTGAGTATATAACCGATTAAATAGAGATCATCTACCTTTTAGAAAAAATTGAGACAACTCTTATTAATAGTGTTTGGCCAATTACATTATCTAAAATGTTAATTATTTACTTATTTGTCATCATTAATGTAATGTGGTGGATATTGATACCTTTAAAAATATTTGCTTACATATTTTCCCTCATTAATTATGCTATCTACGTACTAAATTTGTAACATAAGGACAAATTGAAAAAACTCCCCGAACATGGCTAGCCATGGCGAGCGCATTAATTTTATCAAGATTTTTTTTCTTCTTTAATGATTTGGTCTAGATAGGTTTAATCTAATATGATTCCTAGCACATTTTATCTAGTTTATAAATGCAAAGCCAATATTGATAAAATTGATCATGAGAATGGGTCCTAGATTGAGAACGAGATTAATTTAAAAATTGAGGAATTGGACTTGGAAATTCCTAACTCATGAAATTTATGCTCCCCAAAACTTAAAAAAAAAAAAAAAAGAGCTCGAACAGGCTCAAATTCGGGTCAGAAACTTATACTTTGTATTTTTATATTGTTCGTCAAACTTTAAAAATTGTGATTAAAAAATTCCGTTAACATATACAAAAAATAAAAATAAAACAGTTTAGTGTGAAAGTCAACATTTTTTTTTTGATAGACTCAATACGATCTGTTCACATTTACTGAAGTGAGTTGAATTGAACTGAACTGAACTGAACTAAACTGATTGGAGTTGAACTGAACTGAACTGATGAAGGCTAAACTGAACTGAGACCTTTAGTGACTTAGTGTTTTAATTTGTAACATCAAAAGTTTTAATAAATTTTTAATATTTATAATATTGATGGTTGAATGTATGTATGGAATGTTATGCAAGAAAAAACATACATATTTTATTAATGTGGGACAAA